ATTCTCAATTGAATCAAGGAGTCAATAACAATAAACTCATAATTGTGGGGAAGTAAAATGACGTTATAGTCACAAGGATGTGCGTTGAACAGAAAGGATTCCTACTTTCTCGGCGAAGTTGCCGAGTAGTTGACCGAAACCGCTCGATTCGGAATTGTCTTTCATACGAAATCCAACTGTATGACTATAAGCGTTATAAAATATTCTTCTTAAACACTGTAACTTTTCTCTTCGGGATCTAGAACAGACGTTAAGCATACATCTAGAATTTTTAATAAAAAAAAAAAAAAAAAGAAAAAACCATAACAACTGTGATAGCAAAAAAAAAGATAAATACTTACTGTGCTAACGACGCACACGCTTCATCCTCGATAATCGTGGTGCTCGATTCTTGAGACGCGTGTCCCGTGCAAGTCTCACAAAGAGGTTTGCAAACTAAACCAGACGATGTCAGTCCATCAGTGAGTGGAGCGTTGGCAGTCGTGGAACCACGTAAACTTCCAGTTCCAGATATCATTTGCCAAGAACCACCAGACGACGAGGATTCGTTTCGTTGTCGAAGACGTCCAGGTACAGGAACAGCGACGGGCGAAGTTCTATTGGGGGGCAAGGGTGACCGTGACCCATGAGCAATGCCTTCTTTGTTTGGAGAAGGATAAAATGACCATGGTACAACGTTCCTATAAAATAGACGATTAGAAGGAAAGAATATTGTAGATATGTAATATAAAGGTTAATGTATGTACCCATTGCTATGACAGTCATCTTGAGTTTCTGTGGAAGCACAGTGAAACACCGTTGGTGGATTGTTATCTTGACTATCTCTGCTATTTTGACTAACAGAACTACACCAACTATTCAGACTTAGGTTCGAACTGACTGAGCTCAGTGTCACTACCGATTCACTATCGAACATAACGTTATCTAACTGCGAGTCACTGTCGTTGCGTAGAACTGTGTGTCTAGATCTGCTGTGACGCGGATGAATGCTAAACTCTTCGTCATGAATATGCTTTAGAAAATAGAAGCAAAAGAAAAATATCTCCTCTCCTTTGCTCAGTCGATCTTCTAAATCATGGCCAAAGAGCATCCAGTCGTACGCTATGGTATAATAAAGAATTTGATACGCGTTTAGCGACGTATGAATTGCACCATCAGCCCACAAACTGATCCTCAATAATGAAATAAATAAAGGTGTGCGATCCCAACCTGTAAACACAGTTTAATGATAGTTATATTTAATCATCAAATTAGGAATTACATTATTTAGTGGGGAAAATGATTATACCTGAGATGCAATGTATCAATATCCCACTACTACTATCACTGAGATATCTTAATATCAGTTTTAAATAATTTTGAGTTAACTTGACTAGATCCCAGACTTGATACTGATCCCAACTGATTCGTAATTGTGTAGAAATTAAATCATCTGGCACGCCAATTTGTGCATCTACGTGAGTCTGAGACCAATCGAACACCAAACCTTTAGCCAAGTAGTCATTTTCTCTAAACTCCCTAAAGAATTCACACCCAGGGTATGGCAGTGAAATTAGGGTGAAGTCAGAGTACCTCTTCTCTTTGTCTACTTTCTCCGAGGAAGTCACGCTGGGTACCGAACAAAAGAGCTCTGTTTAAGGTCCTCTAAAAGTGGATTCATAGAATAAAAAAAACTGATCATGCTATTAACTACTATGAAACTTCACTGAATCTGTGAAGAACTGAAAGACTGTTTTCCTAGCTTTCCTACAGTTTCAAATCTCTTTGTGTCCAAGTAATTTTATGATCACAAGAGGACTAATAGAAACATCATATTTAAACAATAAAAATTTTCTATTTTCAATAAATAAAACAAATTGATACACTACTTGAAAATTTAGTTGTTTAATTTATTAAATGTTTAATAATTCTATTTTAACTACTTTCACCTAATTTATTATTTATATAATGTTGAAAGAAAAAAAAATGAAAAGGAGGACATCTGAAAGGCAGTATTATTTTTTCCAATTAATGCATGCACAAAGAATTGCCATTACAATTAATTTACTTACTTCATTCCAAACTTGACCTTCTTCTTCTCAACCATAAAATCAATTATAGTTCCTACGTTAAGTGTTTTCAAAAGCTTGATGTCTTGATGCCTAACTTTATCAAATAATTGCCAGTCACTAAGTACAGAATCACCCCCACGAGCTTCATCTACTTGTTGTTGAATAGAAACTATACCTTCACTACCAGCAAATAAATAATCTAGTCCAGATCTACCATAAATTTCTGGTCCACCAGACAAAGTAGCTGATCTGCATACATGTCTACCTTTATACAATATTACTGGCAGTGGAAATCTTGAACGACACCTGGCAAATCTAGCACTTTTTATCAATTCCTTCAATTTATTAGGGTCATACATGCTTTCATATATAGTTTCTGTTGTGCGTGGCAGTGGTGGCGGCGTATCACACAGATTTGAATTCCTATACTTCTCATACTCTAAAATGATTAGATGGCTAGGATAGTGTGCACTGAGATCACCTCCATTATTATTTATTATAGAGTGAGTATAATCTAAATCAGTGAGCAGCAGACATTTTTGCATGATTGCTTGACTCTAGAAAAAAAAAAGATGATTTTTAATGTTATAGAACTTAAATGTTACCCCATTAAAAATGTGCATATTAAAAAAAATTACCGTGCTATCTGCATCCTTGGCTCTATATGTGTTTTTTGAGAAGTATACAAGAAGTTTCTGTAAATCTTGAATGGTGATTTCTGTCATGATTGAAGCAGGTTTTCTGAGAATGTGTCATCCAAATGTCAACTAAAGGACAATATTTTTTTATTTTCTAAGGTGGTCCTAAGTTTCTATAATTTTCATAAGGATGCTCATGAATCATTAACTGTAGCCAATGTCTTGCATATGAGAGGAATGGCACAAACACTGTATTTAAAATATACCACATCACAATTCAAAGTTTTCTTCTACTTGTCATGATTCGTTCTTAAGTTTAAAGGACATTACTTTTGATATAAACATAACAAGATTACAGGTCTATGTAAACATAATATCAGTTGTTAAATATATAAAAACTTTAACTCTAGAATACAATTGATGATTTTATTAATAGAATCTTTATAAAATAAACTCATGCTGATTGAAAAACTAGAAGTAGTAATAAAATTACAGAAGAGAAAGCATGAATTCCACCTCAAAAATATTTTAATTTTATGTACAATATTTTAAAATAAATATAAACGATCCTGTAAAATATTATTAAACAAACATTGTACAATTGTACATTATATTAATAGCACCACTTTTGGAAGATTAAGCCTATATTGCTTTGATTTTTCTTATTGAATAAAAACAAATATTTCTCTTTCATTCGCGTTACTATGTTATAATAAATAAAGTCGTCTTAAATTTATAAACTATCGTTTAACAAGCTTTACTTTTCATGTACAAATTATAATAGTGATGATACAATCAGTAATGTCTTGATCATCAAAGTCCAAAATACTATTATAGTATATTTTGTTTATTTCCGTTAATTCGACAAATTTGCACTTATCATTTCACTCCTTTACTTCCTCTTATATTTTTTCTTTTTGTGTTACTATTATTTTTTTTTTTTTTTACATCCTATTGTAAATCGAATTTAAACGGTCTTCTCTCTTCTTGTAAATTCCTTTTATTTGTCAATGTAGCAGAAGCGGAACGTAGGTTGTGTCCGTTTTATACAAAAAACATTTTTTCCAAGAATTTGAGCAACAATTTTCGTCGTAACAATAGCTACAGAAACGCTTCGTGGTACGACTTAACCTGAGTTCAAGTCATGCACGCCGCTTTCATCGTAACGAACACATTGATTGATGCCTGAAGGAAATTCATGAAACGTCCATCAGACGGTAGTTGAACGTGAAAAACGGAAAGTTTGTCACGGGAAATATCTATGGTATCTCATCGTGTTCCGATCTCAATGAAAATTCGACGAGATAACCTAAACATCACACCCGAGAATATACGTTTCACGTTACACGCAGTAATTCGAACCTGTCCCGAGTACACTGTCATTCTCTTCCCCCTTATTTACAACCTTTTCCCGGCTGTACACCGAAAAATCTGTTATCTCCTTATCGTGTTCACACGTCGCATTTAAAGGTCGCTCTCGTTAAAGAACGGTCTCCGTGTCCCTCTTCTTCGCCGTTGATCTCGTATCACGTCGACCTTGATTTCTTGTCCTTTCACCTACGCGGCGATAAATACGGAAAAAATAATCTCGATTCGAAAACTGGAGAACGATTATGTTTTTCTCCTCACGAATGGTCCACGAGCGAAACGGAAACTAGTCGTCTGGCAGGACGAAAGTACGAGGTGAAACGCAGCATAGAAAGCTAACCTATCTTTGCAATGTGGAGAACGCGTGCTTCGCTCGGACGGTATTGCAAATTTTATGTTTAATAAATACGCAGATTATCGCGTGACGTAGAACGCAATATGTTCGACGGGGATTTTTGAAACATGTTCGTTGAAATTTTTCAACGTTATATTGAATTCGAAACATCGTTAAACTTTTGCGATGAATTCTTTTACGTTACATATTCATTTATGCAAGTAGTTCTAGGAATTATTCTTGGAGTTTTACGTCTGTTGAAACTAATACTTCCAATAATGAGTTTTTCCGCGTGTATTTAATTGTCCAATTGAAATTGGTATAGGATTTGCATAGAAATTTTTTTAACCATTTATGATTGATACTTGAAAATGAAAATTTTGTCGTACTGCTCATAAAATACTTTTTTAAAAATGTGATTTAGATTTATTATTGTTCGAAAATAGAGGGATTTAGACAACTTCATTTTATGAAATGCATGTTTTAAATATAAAGTGTGAAAGCGTGTCACTGGGAATTACGAATATTTTTATATATTCTTTCAACACCAAATTTTGAATCAAGTAGCACGTTACATTGATCTAAATTATGAAAACATAAGTAGTATATACAATTAGATAAAAAAAAATGTAAATGAACATAAGAAATGTAACCGACAATTTAACAGCCATATTACGTTTGAATTTTCAAATATCAAAATCTCTCTAAAAGATATAATATCAAAAATACTTGATGTATAATGTTTACTAGCATAATTATTTAAAAATCACCGAATAATTTATAAAGTACAGTAAAATAAAAAAATAATGAACACGCAATTCTAATTGAATCATTCGATTTATTGATACGACAGTAATTGAAAGGGAAATGCTTCGTCGTTTGAGCGTTTCAGTCCGAGATGGCGTAGTTCGCCGCGGCACGGCGAGGCCGCTCCAGTTCCAGAGATGCGCGCATGCGCGGCCTGTCTGGTATTTCTGGACAAACGATCCGGTGGAATTGGAACAGGAACGATCGTGAATCGGGACTGGCACGAGCCGAGAGGTGGCAATAGACGCAAGATGGCGAGTACGCGATGAAACGGTGTTGCGCCGTGGATGGTACTACGTCGATTTTCCGCGGACAAAGCGTCCGTCCTGTGTGATATACGTGTTGGTATGGGGCCGGGGGCGTTTCTGCGTGTGCCGCGTGCTGATAGTGGACGCGCGTGTCGTTCGTGATTCCGAGCGATCGTCGCGGGAGAAACGTTCGCGAGGGGCCAGCCACCGAACGCGAGACAGAGGACGGGGAAACGTGTGTGCGCGCTCAGTGAAAGTAAACAAACGGTATGAGTGCGGTTATGGGTAGTGTCGGTGACCCGGCCGGTCTTCTGGACCCCGACGTCGAGAGCATCCTCGAGGAAAAGAATCAACTGATCAGCCGGCAGTATGCCGAGATCGAGAGGCTGCAACGTGAACTCTCCGATGTCATCGGCGAACGTGATGCCCTGCTCTGCGAGGTGTCAAAATTTAAGTTCGAGCGCGAGATGACCGATTTGACACGTCTACTCGATGACAGGTATTTATTGTTTTCATCAATTCTATGTTAAAGATTGTAAGTAAACGTGTCGAATAACACTTGCGCGTGATTTCGAAGTGCGAATCACTGTTCAAAATCGTGTGAATACCGTGATATATATGTATATGAATAGTAAGATCGTGGATCGGCACAATGACACACGCGAGCAATGTTCGCTGTGAAAGAATCGTTGCGCCGGTAATGTTGACGCTGTTACGTACAACTGTAGCGTAAATGAAGGTTTCGTTGTACAATTCAACGGGCAGAACTTTCGCATGCTTTGCGAATACATGTTATAGCGGAACGTGGAAACTCAGCGGCGTATAAATAATAGATCGACGGCCTTTTTGCTACACGATGTATCTTTCGCGCGATATTCATCGACACTTGAAATTATCGCCTTTCGTGAGCTGCTTTTTCGTACGAGCATACTTTATAGCATCTTTATATAGTACATATGTACTCCTTTAACTGAAGATACTAGATTTTGTTGATTCTAGTCGAATGTAGTAAGAATTTGGTTCGTAATATCTTATATTGTTAATCGCCTTAAATATAATAATTATATAATTCGGCACCGTTGCAATCGTCAAATGCTTTCGAACCATCAGTGTCTAGGTACCAATGGTACTAATTTGTTATTCATATGTTAGAGATAACTTTATCGATAATTTAACAAAATTTGAATTCTATCAGTTTTCCTTGTGGAAACTATTACGATAATCTTTTTAATTAATTCTGTCTAGTAGTCGTGTGATGAAATTAACGACGCGGATCGTTTTTGCCGATCGGGAATGGCACGATGCTTCGAATGGAATTTTCCAGGCAAACTTTTGACCAACTGGTGGATAGTTCATAATCACCAGAGCGTGTTGTTTATCGGTTTTGAACAACATTGTGGTTGGTGCACTACATTACACAGAACCAAAAATTAACTTAAATATTGTTATATCGTTCCTCTTAACTTTTTCAAGTTTTTTTTTCACTGGTAAAATAATAAATATATTAGCTACAATTTTAACGTTGTAAGAGAAGAAAAGTGAAATTTCTAAGGTTGCAGTTCGTTTGTTGCTCCACCGGTTTCTAGTAATTTTTTGATGACGTAATATAATTAGTAAAAGTTGCATCGAAATTTCTGCTCGTGGAACGTTATGCACCAGTTTTCTCCATTATTGTGGCAGTTATTATGTTATATAATTATCCGTTCAAGAGGAGCCCTGTGTTTCGTACGTGTACATTATGTAAACGTTGCAACAATGTCGAATCTGCATATTATCGTTTGTGGCTAAGAATTTACGTTATTAAAATACTAATTAACTTTGACCATCACTTCCCGGTGCTTCAGCCCGAAATTATTCATCGTATGGTAATATTAAAACGATATTTCTAAATTCACAAATTAACTAAATTCTAAAATTAATAACTAACATTCCAAAAATTCTCTATTTAATAATTTACAATAAATAGGCGAAGAATATTGAGAATATGTTCGAAGTTAACTTCGGTAAGAATCGAAAGATCGATTGTATCGCTATTTTACGAAATCACGGAAGAATATCGAGATATCGAAGCTAAGCGCCGGCGATAAAAAAATGGCCGCCGTTTTTCGCGGGTAACAGTGACTAATAGGAGAACAATTAACCTTGATGCAGCCGGTCGTTTCTATTGATTCTTGCGACACGAGGGAACAGAGGAAACCTCTCTCATGCTACATTGTTGTTCGTCGTCGAAATTGGGTCGATCATTAAATCGCACCGTGTTATCTAAAATCACGTCTGTGTTCGGCGAACAATCGATGCGCTGTAATACGCTTCGGAAAAACTAACTGTACTTTCTCGATTCTCTCT